AGAGACTGAGCTGCATAATGAGACCCTGTACCAAAAAAATACATAAAAATTTAAAAGCTTTAAAGTTTGTTGCTTGAGAAGCATGATGGCTCTCACCTGATCACCTGAAACAGAAATGAGGACAAGTCTGGTATACCGGGCTAGGAGATGAATTTGGCTTTGGTCACATTGGGTTGAGGATGTAGGAGATGTACATCCTCATAGATGTTAGCAGATAGAGTTAGCAGATAAGCAATTGGATACAGAGCTGGGAGAGAACACAGGCAGGGAGACGCATGAGCACCCAGACTAGGTGGTGTTTAAAGTGATGGGACTGGCGGACATCTTTCAGGAATAGGAATAATATTAATAGAATAGAAAGAAGAGCAGGAGGATCTGGAAAAAGAGACTGAGAAAATGTGGCCAAGGAGAAACAGGAAACTCAAGACGTGGGCCTTAGAGCAACATCTTGAGATATCTATCTATCTATCTATCTATCTGTCTGTCTGTCTATCTATCTATCTATCTATCTATCTATCTATCTATCTATCTATCTATAGTTTGTTTTTGTTTTCTGGGGAGGCAGAACCGGGGATTGAACTCAGGCCAGGCAAGCACTTTTCTACTGAGCCATCTCCCTGGCCTCTAAATCTTTTATTTGTTTGTTTGTTTGTTTTTACATAGGGTTTCACTAGGTAGATCAAGCTGGCCTTGAACTTGTAGCTACCATCTTGCCTCAGCCTCCCAGGTGCTGGGATGACAGGTATACACCACCATGCCTGACTAGAAGCAACATCTTGAAGAAAGCCAAGCTGCTCTGTGTTAGGCACTTTCTCATACCTGGGACAAAATACCTGATACCAACAACTTCAAGGAAAAACATTTTATTTGTCTTCTAGCTCCAATGGGTCCAGTGCACAGTTAGCTGGGCCCAAGGTAGAGACAGCATGGTGGAAAGGCAAGACAGAGTAGAGCTCCTCCATTTGTGGGAGTAGAGTGGTGAGGGAGGAGCCAGGGACAAGAATCCGCCCTTCCAGGCCATGCGTCATTAAGGCAGGCCCCACCTCCTGGCACTGCATTCAGCTATGGACACCTCAGTGATCACTAATGAGTATATTGCCTCACCATCTAATTTCTTTCCAAAAGCCCCACCTCTGGTCACATGAGACCTAGGGGAGCATTTTATATCTAAACCATAACATGCTGTAAGTTTGTGTTTTATTTTTAAAATTTTTGTCTTTTAAAGAGCGTACAAAATAGCATTAAAACAGAAAATTTACAATTGATACAGAATTTTACTAAACAAAATGATATGAATTTCACAGTGTGTGTTGTATTGCATAGTGTTGCCTTCAAATTAATTTTTTTCATATTACCAGACAGATGCATGAAAAATTGGAAAAATAAAGAAAAAAGAAATATATGAGACATTAAGAAGATAAAAAGGTAAAAGAAAGGAAAAAAGTAGACAATTATATTAAGTAACAACTGCTCCTTTCCATAGACCAGCAGAAATCCACAGTACAGTTGTCCAAACCATCCTCTTACATACATAGAAAAATCTCTTTTCCTCATTTCCTCTCCTGTCCTTCTCCTCAACTCAGCAATTCCTTCATCTTGAGCAGGTTTATTCCCTTTTTCCAGTCTCTACTGTATTCTTCAGATTTTATTTTTCTCTTTCAGGTTCTTACACTAAGAAGACAATGCTATGTTTGCATGTGTGGGTTTGCTTTATCTCACTTAAGAGTCTCGTCTCTAGTTGCATCCACTTAGTTGAAGGGCTTTTCTCCCTGCACTGCTTTGAGTGCTCCGCTCACAATAATTCCACCAATGGTTCCCATGCACTGTCCTTCTCCACCGTGCTGTCACCATAGGACTGATGAGACAACTACTGGCACCTGATTTTAGAAACAGAGTTCTACTGCACAGAGCCCCACCTGTCTGTGTGTGTATTTTCCATGGCAGCTGTACCTTGCATCAGCAGAGTTCAACACCTGCCACAGGGGCCATGTGCTTTACAAGCCCTGAACTATGCACGATTTGATCCTTTACAGGACAGTGTAGTGAGCCTGAGATTAACTCACAGGTTTTCAATGTCATTAAATACATATCTCCAGAATATTCAGGTCTTGGCCTCATACATAGAAAATATAATCAGAAGGTGACCAGATATCACTCTTGCATCATGCAAACTCTTCAAATGAAGCAAGTCACTATCCCTCTCACTTCACAGATGGTAGGATCAAGACACAGGGAATCTGAAAGACTTGTCTGAGGTCACTTAGCCAGTAGAGGAGGGATCTGGGCTTGAAATCCATGATTTAAATGTAGAAACCCAAACTACAGCCAACATATCAATGGTTCCCAAAGAAATATAAGGACAGGTTTTTGGTTTTTTTTAAAGACACAGGGACAGATTTTCAAAAATTCTAATAGTTGTGTTTTATTTGTACATGCATACAATTGACACCTCAGATATGTAATACTATTTTAGACACAAAGTAGGTTATATAAGTTGAAACAATAAACACATTTAAATATAATCATTATTTTAAAAAAACCAGGAGGAGACAAAAGCCATATCGGCTGAATTATGTCCCCTCCCAAAGCCATCTGTTGTAGCCCTGATTCCCAGTGCCTCAGCATTCGAGCACTTTCCAGGAGAGACAGAGGTCACTGCCAAGCATCTGCCCCTGGCCAGCAGATGTGGTTCTGCAAGAGTGCTGGCCTATCATTGTGGCAGCAGACCCACCCTCAGACAAAGGCTGGAGTTAGTCTTGATACCCTGGGTCCAGTAAATCCCCAGGTACATCCACTAAGCTATTTTTGCCCTTGACTCTATCCTGCATGCCCAATGAGTGAAACAGGCCTGGGTTTTGATGCACTGTTCATTGGGACTGGATCTCACTCCCTGCCTTTTCTTGGGCCTAGACTTCTGAGCTCTACCCCAGTTGCATTACAATACCTGTCTGACTTGAAATCTTGCTGCAGTAGATAAAACACAAGAGCCTCTCTATTTACAAAGCACTTACTGAAGGCAAGCCTTGATTGTAAGCGAATATGTATTATCTCCCTTCATTCTTAGAACACTATATACTGTATGATTATTACCTCCATATGGCAGTACAGAATACTGATGCTAAAGAGCTCAGGAAATTACTTGAGAGCACAATAGTACAATAAGAATCCATGCTCAGATATTCTGATGCCAAGACCTGTGTGTTTAACCATTGTGCTACACAAAGAATCCACAAAACCAGTGGACACCACTGTTGACCCAGGTGATAAGAGTTTGGGATTGGAAGGAGTAGTTCTAGAGTTGTAGGAAAGTCCCACCTCCTCTACTGCTGCTTTCCAATATGCTTATAATCCAGAGCTCCCAGCATGCCTCACCACCAGCAAGTAAGGGTCCAGAGGAGGACTTCAGGGAAGGAGGAATGTTACAAATTATGACTCTATTATCAGATTTGCCTGATAACTTGTATCATCAGGTTATATTTTCTATCTTTGCAAGTTATTCAATGTTTTAAGTCCAGGGTTCAGAAATCTTAGCTTTCAAGCCAGGTAAAATAGCTTGAAATGTTCAATGCATTGTGCAGATGTTGGGTCTTCCCCAAAAGATTTATCCTACCAAGGGGAGCTGTTTTCTCTTATCTATTAGTGTCTCAGAAGGAGGTATGGAGTAGAGAATGGGGGCCCTGCTAAGAAAAATAAGGAAAACAGACAATGGGAAGCTGCCCCCAGATGTTGACTCCATCTCAGGCATCTCCAACCTCAGGGCAAAATACTCCACTCTTGCTAGGCATGAGGCCATTCCTAAGCCATGGCAGTCTCAAACAGGGCACCACAATGGGCCCCAGTGTGGCAGAAGCCAGTGGACGAGGCATCCCCACACTGAGAGGAGATGTCATTGAGCTCTTAGGGAGGGTGGAGTTGTGGGCTGCCAAGGCATAATGCACAAGCCCTGTGGGTGGCATAATGTGGAATTCATCATCTCCACTCTGCAGAGAGGGGACAGACGGAACAATCCAGACTCTGTCAGCAGGCTCCTCCAGAGAGTTCAGGCCACATTAACGAAGATGAATAAGAGAGAGATCTGTTTCTCATGGCTGTTGTCTCTGCCACTCAGAGCCAAGTCATTCATATTCATGGGGTGGAAGGACAGCTCCCAGGGGTGACCCATCTGACACAGATATGATGGAGTAGAGGTACAGCCATGCTGATCCTCAATTGGGATGGCTTTTGGGGCAAAAAATATTCTGGGTGGTGAATAAAGGGACTCTAGGAAATACCCTTGATCATATGGAGTTTCTAAAGAAAAAACTTTTTTGCCCACTGTAGAATTACAACTCTTGTCTGAACTCAGAACTCCCGAAGAACTTACTTAGTTTCAGCTAAGTTCCAGAACTAAGCTCAAATACTACTTTCTGATCATTTTAGCCAACAATAATTCTGACACTTTTTCATTCTTGATATGTCCTCATGGGATCCACTGAAAATCCACAGAGTTGGTAATACACATGAAGGCTCAGAATATAGGCTGTTTTATCCTCTCATCTTACCACAGTCTGTCTCCTAAATCTTCATCCATCTAGCCCTCCCAGGATGCTCCATTAACCAGACTCTCATGGTAATGAATTTTTGCCCATAACAGATCTCTAGGACCCTGGAAGATGACTTTAGTATGACATCAAACTCTGTGCACAGAAATCTGGATCAACTTGGGCATGTGTACCATGTTTCTTTAAAAGAGAGCAAGTGTTGGCCCTGAATGCACACACATCATCATTTTGAAGCTCGTGGATTTGTTCTAGATTCATGGGTATTTTGCTATTTCAAATGTCTCCAGCCTTGTTATAGTACACCCAGCTCCAGTCCCCAGGCAGTGTAACTGAAAGGATACACACTGAGCCAAATAAATCAAATCACCTCTCTGCAGCTGGCCTCCTGTAGTTTCTACAGAGCTACAGGCTAGTATTTAGTTATAAGACAAATGTCTAACAGAGCCAAAAGAGCCTTACCTGCCTTTCCGACATAATGTAGAGTTGCTCATGATCCTTGGAGAACGCCATATCCCGAAGGACTGGACCAGGATCTACCACCTGCACAGTCTCATATTGGAGAGCATTGCCCCTGGGCCCATCCACCCGGATCTGCAGAGAAGAAGAAGGGGATAGCCAACATGAGTTCAGATCCTACACTGCCCATTTTGGAGGTGCACTGGGCAAAGAGTCAATCCCTTAAGTTTTACACCAAATAATTTCTTTTCAGCCGCTACAAACACTGGCTAATACTTCAGGTCTTAGCATAGATATGAGGCCCTGAAGCCTTCTAGAGGTTCTATTCATGTCCACAGAAAAGCAAATGTGGGCATTACAGGAAAATGTACTTCTGGCATGAGCCATCCTCAGTCTTCCAAGGACACTTAAGAGAGAAGATCATCCTTGGGCCATTCCTAAGTCCTTTCTAGAACTGATTGGACAGAGTGGAGACAACTGGGAGAGACTTGTTCACACGACCCATCACAGAACAGACATGGAAAAGACGGATGCTTCCCAACCTGACTCAGTGCTTATCTGGGCCTGGAGTGTTGGACCTTGTCTCTAGAATCATCATGAGATTGTGTGCACAGACCCAACACAACCACAACTCAGAACTAATAACATCACCTGCATAGGTTAGGAACAAACACTACTGAGAAGGTAACTGGGCAAGAGCTAGAAGACCATGGAACTCAATTAGCTGAGCCTAATACAAGACTCTGTAACATAACCCTGTTACAATTTTAGAGCTCTGAATAACAAGACATTTTTTTTTGGTAGGACTGGGGATTGAACTCAGTCCCTTGTGCTTGCCAAGCAAGTGCTTATTCTACTGAGCCATCTCCATGGCCCCCTGAATAACAAAACTAAAGAAAACCTTATATTCCAAATACTCCTATTATGCACTCTTAATTTTAATGCATAATTTTTGACCTCTTATAAGATCGAACAGAATAAAAGAATTATTCAGAAAAACTAAATTGCATAGTGGACATTGTGTTGATGATCACTGATCACATCAGGACACCAGAAAGTCTGACGGCCAGTGTTTTGTTAAGTTCATCAAACTCTGGACCAGGTTATTTTGTAGTTTATATGTTTGATTTTAAGTTTGTTCTAGGCCTTGGTTTCTTTGTCTTTGTTCTTTTTCCCTCCCTTTTAAACATTATTTTAAGCTTTATAGACATCAGATGATGTTCGGTAGCATGCACACACACATGCACGCGTGCAGACACACACACACACACACACACACACACACACACACATTTCTTACTGATATGCTCCTCTAAAACCCATGGCCCTAGTGTTCATTTGTCATGGCTTGCAGGATCCCTCCAGTCTCTGTTCTATCTTCTCTCATCTTCCAGGTAAGACTGAACCCACTGGGCTTCCTCAAGTTGCTCCTGATTAGTATATATACACCAATTTATTTTCATGCTTTTGTCACACGGATCAAGAGAAAATGGGCTGAAATTCTTCAATAGATTAGGTCAGAGCAAAACAAGGGCACAGAGAAAGAAAGAAGAATGTCTCCTCCCCTGCTGCAGGGTCAAAGGAACACTGGAATTTCTGTTGTCACCCCTCTTGTGAAGGGAAGGGGAGCAGGAGCCCTGAGAAGGCAAATGGCCTTGGAGTTGGTACTACCATCAAGCTGCTGAAGCCAAGTCACCCTACACCTTGCCAAGGTTGGGACTTCTCATTACTCAACACATTTCCTTAGTGTTAAAGCAAAGTAAGTCTTACTGCCACATCACAAGTCATAACTGACTCACTGATAGGAGCTCAGGAAAATGAGGCCCAAGTACACAAAGCAGCTAGCCTGAGCTGAAAACTCTGGAGGCATACTTAGAAGCCAGATTTGACTCTGAAGACCTTGTTTGCTTAAGAGACCTAGTTCCTGAAGGGATAGGGGGTTCCAGATTTCCTTCCAGATTGGTGCTGCCTAAAACCTGGTGGCTGAGGCTCAAAAATGATTCCAAAGACTTTCTAAGCATCCATGAAGTTAATGCTGAAAAAGTTGTGCTTGAAAATATTTACTTTTAAAGTAAACGAAGAAAAAAATAAAGATGCCTCCTTGAAGATATCTTACTAATCTCAAGAAAAAACAATAACAAAGGAAAAAAAAACAGGTAAAAAAATTAAAGAGAGAGCTGTATAACCCTGCAAATTAAAATGCCTTGATTCCCACAGTGCTCCTCCTGTGCCTGTCTGCAAGTCCATCCTGGCCAGGCATTTTCTTAATCTGAATGAAATGGGAGCTCATGCAAAACCAATTGGGATTACCATCCAAGTCTGACTGTGCAGCAATGGCCCTGGCCCCAGGCCCAGGCAGGCTCCATCTGCAGCTGGGTGGTGCCCTGGAGTGGGAGCAGAGAGTGATACTGAGCCCTGGCTACTCTCCAGCCTGCTCAGGCCATAAGCAGGAGCAGGCTCCCATGGGGAATGCCTGTGGAACTAAGTCCCATACAGTGCCCTTGGTCTGATCCTCAAAGGAAATAAGATTCAGTGCCCCAGTAATCTTCTTTATCATTTAGTTCCAACTTCCCTGCTTCTTAGAATGAGATGAATGCCTTGGATGTAGTGGACATCAGAGGTGACCTGGGTAGGGGCAGAGCAGCAGATGAGGAAAAGGAAAGGACACATCAATGGAAACACTTTCAAGCCTGGCCTTTGCTACCCCCACCTTCTGCTCTCTGCTAGATCGGGAGTGCATCAGGGGAGACATTCCTCCCTCACCCCACCCTAATCCACAGCTTTCCACACAACAGGAAGGAAAGCACTCATTTTCCATTTTCTGAAAGTCTGTCTCATAAGACATGGCTAAAAGAAGTTTATGATGGAATCTGCTGAATGGTTGAAGGATAATCCTAAAGCTAAGGTAGGATGGACTGGCTCTTAGGCTGTTACATGGGACAAATAACAAGAATTGCTCCTTTTTTGAGTGGCTACTGTGCCTTAGACATTGGTATCTTATAACTCCATAAAGTGTGCATTACTATTGTCCCTAAGAGGAACAAAAGAGCTATAACTTGTTCAAGGTCCGACTTCTAGAGAATGGCATGGCCTAGATCCACACCAGAGTCTAGCTGATTACAGTGTCCATATTTCTATTGGTTTATAGGCTAAGCCCTGTTCTCCCCAAGAACAGGGCCATCTCGCTGATGGAAGCCTGCATCTTTCCATGGAGCTCAAGCAGCCTATGTTAAGTCATCATGCCCTCGGGTGTGGTGAAGGAACCATGTCTTTATTCACCACAGCTCTTTGGGGAGAGGAATGTGCATATAAATGAGATGCTGATGTAAATTTTCAAAATAATGAGCCCTTATGTTTCAGTTTTATACCTTGCAAAGCATTCTTAAATAACACTGTCTCATCTGATGGTTGTAAAATTTTTATATTGTTACCTGCCAGCATAATTATTCTCATTATACTGATGAAGCAACCTAGAGGGGAGCTGTTCTGAGTCTTGCCCAAAGTCCAGTGGTAAATCAATGTCAGACCTGTCTGGAGCCCAGTTCTCCTGATTGCTGGCTCAGTGCTTGCCTCATAGCTCCTCAGATTTTTCAAATATCTTTTAAGAGATTCTGTATGAAAAAGTATTTAAAATGAGACCAGCAGCTGGGCCAAGGTAAGAAACGTGAGGTGGGAACAGGAAGAAACGTGCTTCTTTGTAAAATAGTACTGAGAACTCCCTGAACATGAGTGTCACCCATAGTCCTAGTTATGCTTTTTATAAATGATCCAGAGGGGGCAGCAGGAAAGTTTGCAGGTGATTCTAAATCTCAGGGATACTAAGAAGCCAATGAACAATGGAACTGAATCACAGAAAGATGTTCTACGTTTGTGGTGTTGATGATGAGGAAGAACTGTCACAGGAGCAAAGAAGTCGGGGATTCTAGCTCTCTTGGGGCAGAGTTCACACCTGTCATGCTCCTCACGTCCCTAAGACATGGTCAGCACTAAGTAGTTGATGAATAGACAAAAACTAAATTCTACCATGAGCAGCTAGATGATCAGGGAAGAAGCAGGATCAGGGAATAGGGCCTCCGTACCACTTTGGACTTCCACTATTTCAGGGAAGCCAATGAAATATTGGCCAGCATCCCAATGGGATTTCAAAAGCAAATGGACCAACACAGCCATCATCTTATCTAACTTCATGAATGGGAAATAGCACATTGACTCCAACCTCATAAGACAGAAGCATAATCCAGATATTTGTAACTCTGGAATAGCCCAGGCCATAAAAAAAAGTTTAAGATTGAAAAAACAAATTGCTAGTGGCTGTGTCAGTCATGAACACAGAAGCCACCATAAAGAGTGTGAAACAGCAGCTCCCACAAATAAGATGTGTTAGACTGCATGGTATATATGACACTTGTGGATCACCCAGGCAGTGGGAAGACATCACAACAACAACTGATGTTTTTTAAAGGTGGAGACTGTAAAGAGACCAATTGTGGGTCATGGATGTAAATTGGACTGCTTGGAAGGTGTTGTAAATTTCTGAAGTTGACACCAAGGAGGAAACCACATCCCAGTATTCTGGAAGGAGTGATTTACCTCATGCCTCTTTGTCACCTGCCACACATTTGTTGTACATTTGCCACTTCTAGGTCCATAGCAAGTTTCTGGTGAGGAAGCATGGGGAGTGTCAGCCCTGCCTTGAAGGTGGCCTGGACCGGAGGGCTCAGATTTCACACCATTAGAGCCAAGTAGCAGATATTACAGCAGAAGGTGCTCAAAGGCTTTTATTTGTTCTTCCTGAGAGGTCTGACCAACTGACTGGTATACAGCCAAGGGTGGTGAGTCCCACTCAAGCAAGGCCAACATGTAGTCTGCATGTGTACGGCAAATGACAGGGCAGCCAACATGGTGGGATTGACTAGGAGAGCCTGACTGAAAACATACAGAGTAACAGCAGATTTACTCAGAAACCACCTGAGGAAACACAGTCCCGTAGCTCTGTAAAAAGACTGATCCAAAGTAACCAAAGTAATGGCAATGACATAATATCCTAAAAGGGAGGTAAATTAAGAATATGAGGAAAAATGAAGTCAAGTGGTAAAATGTGGTCATCTTCCATCAGCTCTGTCCTGAGGAGACAG